TCTATTGAACATGTAAGTTAAATGACTTCAAAGAGGTAATAATACCAAAAAAGTAATAATCAATCTGATCTTTACCACATGGTTGCATACCACAACATAATGTTTAGTATTAGTAATTTGATAATATTATTAATAATTTCAATTATTACAAATAACAATGACAGCAATAAAGATGACAATACTAATAATGATGACAAAGATGATGATGATTATGATGATAATGTTTTCTTCCCTAGGAATATGGCAAATGTGCAGATAGAGTAATTGGCATTAGGGCTGGTTACTCCCTCATTCACCTAAATACCAGATTCACATCTCAAGAGGTTTTCTGGATAGGAAACTATCCAAATTTCCCAAGAAAGACAACTTCAAGGGTTTAGTGAGGAAGTGTGTTACTTAAAACAACGGCTTTAACTGGCTTCAGAATGATAAGCTTTGAAATACGAAGATGGAAGCACCACCCAACCCCTCAATTTTTGTGACTAGCTAAAGAAAATGGTTTTTCCATTATTTTTTGACAGAAAATGTTACTTAATAGCTGTTATGTAACGTAATGTATTGTGCATATCAAACTTGAGGATCCACCAGCAGCTTTTCGTAGCCCAATGATTCAATTGCCTAATGAAAAAGTGAACCTGTGGTCCCTTTGAATGTATTTACTCAAAACAAGCTCACCCTCATCTTAGGGTTCTCAATAATTGCCTTGAAACTGAAGAAGGATGGTTTAGGTTTGGTCATTTTGCCTGGTGTCCAGGAAAATAATTTTTGAATGCTGAAAAGAACAGACAAAATAACTCATTACTTGAGAAGTAATGTAAAGTTTTCAGTACTCTTTTTGATCAGGTTCTCAAACAAAGCTTTCTTAATCTAGTCATCATCAAGAAAAAAATTTATATTCATTTAAATAATGAAACCTAGTTCATCATTTTGTTCACATGATGGGACAAATAATAAATTGTTGGAGAGAACTTTTAAGAATTTCAATTTCCTGGCAAATTAAATTGATATCTTCAAGACCAAACTGCCCTGGCTTCCTAAATTCTACCTTGTAGAAAACAAACACATGTTTATTAACATAGTAAACATGTTTCTACATCTACCTTTCGTGTGACATAGCTCTGATCAGAAATGCGGCCGCATTGTCTTTCTCTCCTTCCATTGCCAATTCCACTGGCAACATGGCTCTTTTCTTCACAGGTTCCGCCAATTGATCATCTGTTGTCATGGTCATCAGCTGGGGATGTTTCCTCACAAGTGTTTTCGTGACGTGTAAAAAGCCAAGCTCTGCTGCATAATGCATCAGGGTCTTTCTTGTTTTGTCATATTCATCTTGAAACACTCTGTATCTGTTCCCTGAATTAAGTTCACTTTCCAAAAGAATCTCCAAAAACCGATTTATCTGCGAAACGCATAATCAAAAGCATCGTGAGTAAATGACACATTGACCTCAAATGTTCTATACTAGTTGTGTGGAGCAGGATGTATCCACTCTTCGTCAAGGTTTTTGTAGACAGCACTTCTGTGCAATGCAATGGATAAATTGTCACGAGTAGGAATTTACTTAAAGTGAAATAGACATCATCGCAATTCATAACCTCACATGCAGTGTAATCATCTTTAGCTTAATCACCTTAATGAACTTAATACTCGCGCTTTTTGTCGACTAAAATTCTCCATATGGCTACCGAAGAAAAAAGTTCAGTCACCACTTGGTCTGCGCTTTAAGAAGTTAATTTTGAGCTCTGAAAATGAAAGATATCAACATACCAGTTGCTCAAGTCCACGAAGTTTATCGGGATTATCTTTGTACTGTTCAGATGCAGGCCACTTTTTCAACATTAAAAGTGCTGGATCCTCGCTGTCGAGTTCTCCGCTGTCCTTGTATTTCCAAATCAATTTCTCAACATGAACTTCATCCATAGCTCTATTCCATGACAACCCTTTGTTCTGCTTTTGATGGACCTTGATCATGATAAATGGATCAAGCTGGTGATCAACAGAAGATTAAACATACGACAGAAGTACCATTAAAAAAGCTGAAAAATGAAGTCACAACGCTCGTCGTTTAACTTATATTCTAAATTCATTACCCGAAACCAGAACTCCTCGTCGAATGCATCTACAATGAAATCTTGCTCATATTCACGACAGCGATTCATTTCATGCCGGTCTCCTTGTTCGTTGCCTTTTACAGCGCGCTTTCCCTCACTCATTCCTGGATCTTTAAGCAATAGCCACATTGAAGTTATATTTATTTAATATACACCATTTTTTACGTAAATAAAGCCAAGGTTTTCGCAAGCAGGCTCTTTCCTGTTGGTCAGTACCTCAACAACAACGTACGCGACACGAGCTATAACTAATTTGTCCCCAAGGATTACCCGCTCCTCTGTTGACGACCGAGAGGCCACTGGGTAACAGGTTGGGCTGAAAAATTAAAGGTAGACTACCGACATAAATTTCATTGCCACGAGTCATTTTATTATTAAATTTTAAAGCTTTAAGAAATATTCAATTAATCCACCAGATAAACGTTCCCTTTCTGAGAAAAATGTGACTTCTGTTTCTACCCTAACTGACCTTGAACAAGAAACAAATTCAGAGCCAAAGAATCTTTAATGCTGGCTGCAAGCCAATAACCTTAGCCTAAATGTAACGAGAACTAAGTTTATGGTCATTGGCTCTCGCCAGAAAATTCTTGTAGAGAACTATGACAATATTAGTATCAAATTACGAGACCAAGTTGTCAGGAAAGTTGATCACGTTAAATCAATAGGCGTTGTTGTCGACGATCGGCTTTCCTGGTCTAACCAAGTTGACGAAATTCTTAGAAAGGTATCTTCCGCAATAGGTGTCCTTAAACGCAGTTTCAGTTTCAGCAGTGCCTTTTAATGAAACTCATTACCTGAGAATGTCAAAGAAATCAGATGAAAAGGTAAATTTAAAAAGCGTATTAACTGTGTATTTGTGTCTTTGGATTCTCACTCGGCAATTTTATAAAACAGTACATTGATAGTTTTAACCAATTTTATTTTGTAAATATGAATAGATTGGAACACTATTTGGTTTTATAGAAGATTTGTTACCGAGTTTAAATAAAGATACTACTCTATTCTATTCCATTCTAAAATAATACCCTTAATTAGCTTCGAATCAAGACTGTCTACGTTACACAATGACTGAAGGAATATGTCACATGGTAGACAACTCTGAAAATATATGCCCAAAGTCTATGCTGGTGGAAAGTTCTGAAAAACGCGTTGAATATATTCGTTACGTGCAGTATCAAAACCCAGGGTAAATATTTTGTAAAACAATTCCAAACTCCAAAAAAGAAAAATGAATGCTATTATTTCGAGGTGTTCGAAAATTCCGATAAAGCACGATTTATGATGAATTTTCAGCCAAAACGAATAAGTACTATTGTTTAAGTAATTCTTGAAAACAGCTTCACATGGATTAATTCTATCACATACACTTCACTATTCATTTCAGATGCAGTTCACGCATTCGCCTATCGTATTTATCATATTAAAAGCAAGGGATGTTCTTTCATTGCATTGACAGTTGTTCTTGTCGGCAAGCACAGTTTTAGTTTTTTGTCCGAAAGAGTTAAGCCTTAAGAATATCCGAAGGAAAGTGAGTTATCTTATTCGTTTCTGTCTCCAAACTCAAGTACATGTAAAAAATGAAATGCTCATTGTTTTTGTATACTGAAAGCGACAGCAACAAAGCAAGGCGTCTTATGAGTTATTTCCAAGGTCAGTTGGGAAGGATTTCAGAAGTGAGAAATATCAAGAACATTTTGGTGAGGGACCAAGATTTCCAGGAAGAACTTAGCGAGAGTGAATGTGTTGTGTTGGTCGGAACACCTCAAGCTTTGTCCCTCATCCAAAACAAGCAGCAGGAAAAACACGCTGATTACATCACGTTTGACGGAAAAGTTATGCATGAAGAGTTCGCAGAGAACAAAGAACTTGTCAAGAACAGACTCCTCATCGTTCACTTCACGGAAAGAACGGAGAATGACTGGATTCCGGAAGGTTTTGATGAAAAGCAAATTTTTCACGTAGAAGACGGCAAAGTTCCTCCAGATGGAACTCCAACTTTGACCCACCTTGAATATCGCATGAAGAAAATATTGCTTGGAGATGACTTCATGTACTGAGCTTTAGTACCATAAAAAGTAACATAAATTGTGAATTGCGTGCAACGAGGAACTATATCTCGTCGATACTTTTGTTGGATTAAAGGCAACACAGTGGAGACACGTTTAGATTTTGATGTTTCATGGCGTAACTAATTGCAAAGTAGCATTAATAATGAATCTAGACGAAGCGCTCAGATAAATTAGTTTAATCAGTGTGGAAGATTCAAGCGTTTACTTGCCTGTAAACAATATATTTTTGCGAACTAATCTGACAACGGGTCAAACGAATAATCTAGGGCAGGAAATTGGATTCAATAACTTTACAGTTTGAACTTCAAGCATGCAATCAAACAATGAAAAACACTGCTCGTGATTTCAAAAACAAAGTAATGAACTGTTTGGGCCACAGCAGAGAATCACGTGACCTTAATCTGTATCCAACTTATCCAACATCTTCGTATTTCGCAGAATAAATTTGTGGTCGAGACTGAGATGAAACTTTCAAGCATCAGGGTGTTAGAGGATGTATGAGAAAGTCCTTGATATCTGTGGCTCATATTTCAGACGCAAAATTCTTAGTACTATAAAAATAAACCAGTACTACCCAGGAACCATAGTCCTTCACGTTTTTCTCCTCCGAGGGCACTTTAGTATGTTGCCATGGGTGGGTGTGTGCTGCCAAATCTTAAAATTTAAACCCCATAAAAAATTTAAAATCGAAATGATACCCACTCGTTCATAAACTATCGTCCTATCTTTCCGGTAAAAGTCGTACAAAATGCAAGTGGTCAAAACTTCCGAAGAAAACGGAAGCAATATATCTCCTATTGTCTTCAAGCAACAGACCCGCTTATTCGCGTCCAGGCCTCATCTGTTTAACCATCTTTCTCATCAGATCCCTAAAATGAGAAACTCACAATAAAGAAAACCGCTGATACACAAACATGTGAAAGCGCAGGGTGGGAAAGAAAGTTTACTAACGAGCCATGAGAAATCCAACAGGTCAATTTTGTTTCACTTCGTTCTCTTATTGTTATTGTATTAAAACTCGCTTCATCCTCTTAATCAATTAGATTTAGACTTGGTCAAAATTTTTTTCCCGCGCTTCGGAAAGTTTGATTAATTTTTTCAATTATTATTAATATATTTACCTTCCGATTTGCCGCTGTGTCTAATTTAGTTTCGCTCTGAGGATGGGCTAACGCCCGAAAGGTCAACATTATAACTTCTTACGGTGGCCAATTTACGCTGTCAACTCGCTGATGATACTTTTCAACTCGCTGATGATACTTTTCAACTCGCTGATGATACCTGTTATACTCTCCCACCGACGCAGCACCACAGTTTCTTAAGAAACTTACCCCCTTTATTAATGAATTTAGTTTTGGTTTTATAACACCTGAGAAAAAGCGCTCAATATGTCATTGCTGGGTTAATGAAGAAGCTGATGGTAAGAAAAGGCAGGAATTGAAGGAATTATTCTTACCTGATATCATTAAGTTTCTCTTCAATCGACTCCCAAGGACTGCGATCCTCACTGAATTCCAGAAGCTCTATAAACAAAAGCAAGATCACATCTGAGAACGCCAAGAAAATTCCCACACATCACACCATCGAGGGATTGAAATGGAAAATGATTATTAGTTGAAACTGTTCGCTAAAACAGCTACATAGCTCTTGCTAATTAAAAAAAAAGGCTTGTAACGTAAGCAGCCCAACTTTTCGTTCCCACACTACTCCATTCAGTACCCGCCAAATTTTTCCTTCTTACTAATAGCCATTCCACCTTTCAGCAAACAACATCCTGTGACTGATGGTGGGTCTTAATAAGTAGTCTCATTTATTTCAGTACCGACCTTTTGCAAGTTTCATTTCACTGATCCAGTCTCCTTCTTTATAAAACTTCACGCGTAAATTCTGCAGAGAGAAAGGTTGTAGAGTAATAAATAGGGATATTATGCAAACCACGACGGCGACGGCAACGAGGACATGGAAAAAGAAAAGATCTTATCGGCAGAACAATAGCTCAGCATGTGCGTCTTAAAACTTTGTACATTTCTTAGCCGACCTATGCAAAACAACAACGTGAAATCACCACAACTTGCGTCGTCTGCGAACCGAAACCGCTACGGCAAATTATTTTAATTTCCATTTCGAACTCAACGCTTCTTTTGTACGTTATGCTGAAGTTGAGGTGTGGCGCCCTATGAGACGGTAAACACATGCAGCCATTTTTTAAAATTCTAATTAAAGGCAGAAATTCATTTTTTAATCGAAGTCTTCCTTAGCGTTGCCGTCCTCAATGCTTAAGCTCCCTAATCAATGACCTCCGCCTTCCACCACCTCATTCGCACTTGCGCAAGGCAGGAAGCACATTTGCGAAATCGCACTTAGCACTTAGTGGCTTCATTCTAAATACCTAGTGGATACTCACCAGAAAAGGAAATCTCTCCATGCGAGTGAGCTGTAAAATACGATCCACATCATATTCCAGACGAGCGACTTTCTTAGCCTGTGTGTAGGTCGTACTCATCTGAGCAACAAGAATGTTGAGCAGAATCACAGTCACTGTTCCCATATACGCCATCATTAGAAGAACTGACAGCCAGCTGCGGGAAAGAAATATTCACAAAGCTTAGCTTATCCACCGGAGGAAAATAAGTGACTTACTACACAGAACCGATCCCCTATTAAATATCTGACATGTGGCGTTAGCTTCCCTAAGCTGGCTTTTAAAACTCCAATCTTTACGCACAAAGAGAAGAACAGCAATAACTTTAAATATTAGTGTTACGTACTTGAAAGGTGAGTAATTTTGCACCATTGGATACTGCTCAGACAGCGCTCGAAACCCGCTCATCAAGACGTCTCCAAAACCACTACAGGCAAAACCAAAAATTAAAATTAGTATGTTGGGTTTCTTCGCACTTCTCACGCGCTATATTCAATATCCAAATTCCCACGATCAGTAAATTGCTTTTGCTAGAAAGGGTGAGAATAGTTTGAATAAATAAAACATCTAACTAGTAAAAAGCAGATCAAATTAAATAATTTCCAGTAGAAACTATCAAATATTTTATTTACTTGTAACAAACGATACCAAAACAACTTCATAGCTTTGTTAAGGAGATATACTCAACAGAGACGCACCGAAGTTCTTCGTTTTCATTGGACCCGGAGTAACAAAGTGATAAAGTCAGGGCACCACAGAAGGAGAAAAAGATCACAATAAAAACTGCCATGGATCTTGTTACATCATGTAAAATGATCTTGGCCAAGGTTTGTGTGTATAATCCTGTAGTCCTAGGAAATATTTAATGTAATGTCAGGTTAGATTGACGAAAGGATGAGTTTTAATTCATCAGTGCTCTTTCCGAACTAAAATAATCAATTGGGGGTTGTAGGTTACCTTGAGACACATGAAAATTTGAATATCCTCAGGAAGTTGAACAAGAAGGCTAAAGATGTCACCATCCACTGTGCTTTATGACCCATGTATCGTAACGGTACTATACACAATAACAATAGCAGTCCAAACAAGTCAAACAAGGTCATCCACTCTGTGAAATAAGAACGCCTTTCTCTGCAAGAAATCAAACAATTTTCATTACTTTGCCCCTCTCCTAAAATTCTATGAGGTGTTTTTCCTCCAATGTGGGGTCATTCACTGAGATATGGGGTCAAATGGGAGGTCTTGATGAAATTCACACAATAACCTTTGATCACCATAATTACTCACATTTTTATTTGATTTATTTCCTCACAGATGTAAAACACGACCATAAGTAGAGTGACAACCTCACCAAATCCACGCAGTGAGTCCAGTGGACCACTGTAATGGGTGGGGTCCAGTTTAGTTGAAGCATGCAGCAAGGAATATGACATGCAGAGCAAGAAGATGCAATACAATGCTGCTTGAAGGCTACAGAAAAGGAAAAGTAATCATGATTACCTCCGCAAAAGTAAAATGGAGGAAGGGCACAAGATTAGAAATTGAAATGAAGATACAAAACTTTATGTTCTTGGCAATATTTTTGTTGTAAACCATTGAGAAACCAAACAGCATGATGCATTCACATGAAATACTATAATAAGACTGAATGACATTGCTGCTCGTGTGTGTATAGTGGCACAAATAAACTCAACAAATTTTTCTTAATTACCTGTACTTAAAGGTACATCAATAATAATTATTATAAATTTAACACCTATGTGAATTAATATGTTACAGCTAATCCTCAAAGTTATACAGTATGAAGCATGAAAACACAACTGATGTACCTGAGAAACAAGTGTCCATAGATACTCCATTTTGTTTTAATCAACATTCTGACAACAGGATGTTGCAAAGCCTCCTAAAAATCAAAACTAAAGATCTGATTTCTTCACAAACAATTTTGGTGTAGGAGTGATATAAGAATCAAACTCCTACAGTAGTATGTACCTCTAAAACTGATATGAATGTTTCTCCTTTTTTTCTAAATATTTTAAAATAATGATGACATTATATATTTTACCACATGACTGAATCTTCTAAATATTAATTTTGATCCTTTTTTGGATCAACCTTACTCTGTTGTTGCTCTTGGCAATTGCATGTAAACAAGAATTATCCTTGTGGTTAAAATATCTGTTTTCCATCTGCTGGTGTCCATCTGAAGCCCCAATCTTTGGGGGTCGTCCTCCCTCATCTCCATCCAAGATATGATAATAAAAATGATAGTTTAATGGATCATCTGAGATTGTATTCCAGACTCCTTCAATTGCCTCTCTTTCCATTTCAGTTTCATAGTTTTCTTGTCGCTGTGGAAGATAGGGCCAATGAGGGTTCATCATCTGATCTAACACAGCCACTACTGTTTTCTGTAAACAGCAAAGATCATATGAATTAAGGGGGTAAGTTTCAAGGAAACTGTGAGGCTGTGTCAATGGGAGAGTACAACAGGGTAATTAAGTATTATCACCTGAGTTGAAAACATAAATTGGCCACTGTAAAGAGTTTAGAGGCTGATGTTTTGAGCATTAGCCCTTCGTCATAGCGATTGGAGATCAAAGCCTATTCCATCAAAACATTTCTATTTTACATGTAAGTAAAAAGTACCAAAAAAAAGTAATGATTGGCCCAAAAGGTAATGCTCAATCTAATCTTTGTCACACAGCTGTATGCTGCAAAACAACAACTACAAATAACAAAAATAACATTAACAATGGTAATAATAAGGAGCTATTTACTAGGCAAAAATATCTTTAAAAAGTAAAAACTGAAACATTTTTTGACACAAGGTCATAATCATTACCAGGTCATCTTCATCGCTTGGTCATCATCATTTATCCAGATGATGATGAAGTGTCCAAAATATTTGGTTTCTACCTATTTAAATATGTGTTTGCCTAGTAAATAGCTCATTTTAAACCTAAGCAAGCTGTATAGACAATAATAGTAATGATAATGATGCTGTTGATGAGTAGAACAAAGATGATGATGATGATAATCTTTTCTGCTCTTATCAAGAACTTGACAGGAGTGAAGATAAAAATTTTTGTATCTAGAGAATTCACCTTCTTTATGAGCCTTTGTGGCTATTAATACTGGCCATAGACTGGATAAGAACAAACAGATAACATCAGATTCACAAATAGGACACTGAGATGGGATGGCAAATTTCCCACTCAAATGTCTTCATTCAAACTTACAGCCACTTCGTTGAAAATTTACAGAAATGTGACTTACATGAAATCTGTTACTGGCTTTAAAATAACTGACCAACGGCAAACACCATGTCCCCCACTTCACCTTTCATAATCAGATACATTGACTACAAGAAGTTCCTTCTTTTCATGCAAATTATGTTTCATGACAGACTTCTATCAGATATGTGATGTGATTTCTCAGATCTTTTTTTTAAAAAGTGGCAACTTTTGAGCTTATATTTAAATGTTATGCAAAGAAAATTGCTGAACTCATTTGTAAGGATCCACAAGAAGCTTTTCTTATTCCATCAAAATGCTTATATGGAAATAAAATCAAAGCTGTGATTTATTCAAGATTATACAAATGCAACAATCTCACCTTCATTTTAGAATTCAGGATGATTGCCTTGAAACTGAAGGGGGATGGTTCTGGATTAACCATATCATCTGGTGTCCAGGAAAATAAGCTTTGAACTCTAAAAGTAGCAGGAGATTAAAGTTATTTACTTTGAAGGTAAGTTTCCAGTATTTCAATATATCAGGTTGCTCACAGCAGGCATACTAAGTTCCCTCACTTAGGAATACAAAAAGATCTGTATTCACTCATTAATCATTTTGTTTGCAAAATGGACTTAGAAAACTGATGGTCATAATACTTCATAAATATATATTCTTTCAATCTGGACTTTGTAATCACAATTTTCTGGCAACAGGAAACTCAAGTCTTTGAATATCCCATTGCTGTAAGATTTATCCATTTAGAAACTTGCATTGATCTTAATGTTAAGCACATTTTTTCACCTTTTATACCACATAACTCTAATCAAATAGGCTGCCACATCATCTTTCTCTGCCTCTATTGCCAGTTCCACTGGTAACATGGCTCTTTTTTTAACAGGTTTTCGCTGATCTTCTGTTGTCATGGTAAGCAGTAGAGGACATTTCTTCACAAGTGTTTTGGTGACATGCAAAAAGCCAAGTTCTGCTGCATAGTGCATCAATGTTTTCTCAGCTTTGACCCCAGTATCTCTGAACTTCTCATATCGATTCTCCGAATTTAGTTCACTTTCTAACAGAATCTCCAAAAGCTGATTGATCTGCAAAACACAATTGAAGGAGACAATCTTTCAGTAACATAACAGTAATAATAATAATGATAAAAATGATACATTTCCTGAATCTTGTAGACTGGTTGGGCAGAAGAAAGACAAGTAAATTCCCGTATGTACAAAAACCTATCCTACATGCCTGTTGTTCAAGGCTTGGAAGTTTATCAGGGTTATCTTGGTATCGTTTAGAAGCTGGCCACTGTTTTAACATCACAAGTGCTGGATCCTCGAGCTCAAGGTCTATTTCCCCTCTGTCCTTGTACTTCTGAATCATTCTTTCAACATGAACTTCACCCATAGCTCTGTTCCATGACAAACTTTCGCTCTGCCTCTGATGAACCTAGCCATAAAATCAAGCTCTGGCAATACCAAAGGATTTATCAGATGGCTAAAACACTACGCTAAAGAACTAAAAAAAAAATAATTTAAAAAACTGCTCTACAAATGAAATTAACATTCCAACTTTATTACCTTAATCCAGAACCCCTCGTCAAATTCCTCTTCTGCCAAATCTTGTTGCTGGTGATCACTACGGCGATCAATTTCACGCTGATTTCCCGGTTCATCACCCTTTTCAGCGTTCTCCAACGCTTGCTGTTCTTTCCACATCCCTGAATCTTTTAACACAAGCCACATTTAAGTTATATTTATCAAATGTGAATCATGTATTGCCAAATTTTGGGGGTAAATATCGCTAATATTTTCGTAGGCTGGCCCTCGATCACTGGCAAGTACTAAAAGCGCGAACAGTTATCTGAGCCGAGCTATCGATCGATAAGTGGAGGCCTCGGTATTACTCATCCCCAGGGTCCTCTACGCCTTTCTCTGAAAACATGGAGGTTGGAAAAAAAAAGCCTTCACATACTTTCAACCTAAAATTTCGGGAACGAGACAATGTAAATCAAAATAATAAAGGTTTTAAAGCAAACGAAACTTTTGTTGCATATCTTTCCCCATTAGAAAACAATGTTATGTGATTTTTCATATAATGACCACTGACTTGGACAACATTTTTCACTAGAAAACGTTTAAAGAAATTCACCTAAGAAAACAGAGCTAAAATCTTACGTTGTAAAATCAGTGTTTGTGCTGCCTTTGAAATGAAATATAATTTGGTTTATGTACGCTTTCAAAAGTTCACAATTCTCTATTGAAGTTCATTGGCGAATTTTCCGCTATTCAACGTTTCTTAAGTGACGAGGCAAGCCCGCGAAATTTTGCGCTTGCCAGATCATTTTGGCAAGTCAATGGATATGTGGCTTCCTGTGATGAATTATAAATATTAAGATTGAGCTGGATTCACTAGCGTCCTTTGAACACAAACTAATGGTCAAAAGAGTACCTAGAACTCTTCATGTCTTAATCTACGCCTTGAATTCTTTTCAAAACAAGAAGGAAAATTGACTACGCGTTCCGTCATTAATTACTGGACAGCGGTTTGAAGGTGGTACGTGAATAAGAAAAATGTACAAAACCTTGAATATCAAAGCGATGAGTTTGAGCATGTCTTGAACTTGCAACTTGGTTGCATCTTTAAAACTACATCGTTCAACTGTGAAACTACAAAATTGAAAAAAAGTTAATATATCGTGTAAAAAGTAGCCTACAATGGCAAATGTCAGTTTTGCATTTTTGCACCTACTGTACGCCGTTGAGATTCACGATGCATAATGAATAATTGAAAATCTCACAACGTCAGAGAGCTCGAGCAGGAAAAATGTAAAAAGGTCTTTAAAATGTATGCTGGTAGAGAGTTGAGTTGTAAATGATGCGACAATGCGTATTCTCTAGGAATACGGTGTCAAAAGCCAAAATAGGTATTCTATAAAAATTCCAGACTCCAAGAACCAAGCACGAGCTTAGGCGGGCCTCCAAGACCTTCTGTTGTTTCGAGGCACCTAAACCAGATTCCTACGGATAGGCTTCTCTCAGGGGTTCAACATTCTTTTCACATGTAATTTACACATTTGCTTTTGGCATATTCTACAGAAGCTAAAGAGTTCCTTTGCCGCATTATCACCTGTACTTTTTGCAAACGCAGTTTTGGTTTCCTCTCTGAAAATTTAAACCAGAACATCCGAAAGAAAGCAGGTTTATTAAGTTCGTTTGCGTATCCACAAAAAATTCGAGAGGAAAATGAAATGCTCTTTGTTCTTGTATACTGAAAGCGACAGGACCAAAGGAAGGCGAATCATGGATTATTTTCAAGGCAGGTTACGCAAGGTTGCAGATATGAGAAATATAAATAACCTTCTAGTGAGGGACCGAGATTTCAGAAGGGAACTTCGCCGCAGTGAGTGTGTTGTGTTGATCGGGACACACCATGCCCTGTCCCTCATCCAAAACAAGCAGCAAGAAAAAGATGAAGATGATATCATTTTCGACGGCAGAGTGATGCACGAAGAGTTCACAGAAAACAAAGAACTTGTCAAGAACAGACTCGTTATCATTCACTTCACAGAGAGAACCGAGAATGATTGGATCCCGTCAGATTTAGATGAAAATCGAATTTTTCATGTGGAAGATGGGACAGTTCCTCCCAACGGAAGTCCTACCTTAACTCACCTTGAATATCGCATGAAGAAAATTTTGCTTGGAGATGACTTTTTGTACTGAGCTGAAGGACAACAGAGCAAAGAAACGGTCGATCCGTGGAGAGAAAGAGTCAGAATTTATTGTAAAGGGCCGAGTCCTAGACTGATTGCTTTATAATGTCTGCTTCAGTGTGATAGACAATCAAAATTAATCGTAATTGTGTGTATCGTAAAATTTTCTCAATCAAAACACTCTTTCGATGGTTACGACCTTAAGTCAACCGTGAGGTGTAATGGCGGAGATGTGATTATGATAAAGACAAATTTCAGCTTTAACAGCTCGAGGTTTTGTAGATAAGTACTTTGATATTGTTTTGAGGAGACCTCAGAATTCTGAAAATGTTCACGGTTTCGCTTACATCAACAGATTAAAAGCTGTTTATAATATCTCGCGTACATAGCTCCTAACACCCTATAAATGGGAAAAATTAACCAACATCAGTTTCACTTTCTAAATGTTCCTCAACGAATGTTTAGGTCATGTTCCTCCTGTGTTAAGGAAACTTTGTTTATCTAATAGTCTCCTCACTTATATTATGCAATAAAAATCTAAAGATATCCTGTTATCATGGTTTTCTGTTTAATTATTATTTTACGAAGCATGGGTATGCTATAGGCCTCTGGCTGGAGCATGGTATATTGTATTGATTGACCATCAATGTGGATTATAAAGCACAGTATTGGCACCTAAGGTCGATTATAAGGAATAAATGAAATGTTGACGTTATGATTATCCTCGCTTCCAGGGTCTCTCTCCCTCCTACCGACCATACCTGCGAACGAGATTGACGTGATCTCATGATGGCGGGTCGCGCACCTCCTGTACCCAGACTGCCCACAACCAGATGGTTGGAACGTGAAAACGCTATGGCATTGTAAAATATTATGTTCAAGAAATTATTAAATCATCTTTCATGCAGTTTCTAAACTAACGCTGTAAATTGCAGTTTGTTGAGCTAACAAATAAATGGAGGAAAAAGAATGCTTAAAAATACATATATGATCGACACATGAGAACTTTGCTCCCTCTTTTCTAGAACAATAACAATACAATTATTTCTCAAGTACCGTGGAATTTGATCGGTTGCCGACGGGTTCCGTTTTGTAGCCATACGCTCCATTAACTCGGTCAAAGAAGATAAAGAAGTTAGAGAGTTCAAGCGGGGAGCTCTGTTCTTAACGCATACAAACATGTACAGCCCGGATTCATCGTTATTTTTAACCCTTAAGGCCGCCATTTATTACTCACGGATAAATGGTTACAGACATGGTTGGATTTTAAAAGTCTATTTCAGTCCTAGTTCATTCGGCTCCCCTTGAAATATTTGAGCCTTTGCAATATTTCATATTTCTGTCTCAAAATTACATGCGAGTTTTGTCAGTCAAGATTGATGCAATCTTCGAGATGGTCTAAGGAAGGATTTCCTCTCTGAATTTTTTCCCCTGGCAGGTAGAAAATTCTACTTTCATCCAAACCGGTTGGGATCCAATCATTCTTGTTTCTCTCCGTAAAGAAAACTATCACCAATCTGTCTAGCAGTTCTTTGTTTCCTGTGAACGCATCATGTATCTCTTTACCGTCGAAAGTGATGAAATCATCTACGGTTTCTTGGCGTTTGTTTTGAATGAGTGACGAAGCATGACGCGATCCTGTCAAAACGACGCAGCTGCTGCGAGAAAGTTCTTTCTTAAAATCCTGCTCCTCTGCCAGAATATCAGTAATATTTCGTAAATCTGCCACTTTTCGCAGCTTGCCTTGTAAATAATCCTTAAGCTGTTCTGCTTTAGCGCTGTCGCTTCCAGAGTACAGGAACAGAACGCATTTCATTTTCAGTGAGCGCGAGGACAATTGAGACAGATAAACACGCTCGTCAAATGTATCACTGAATTTCCGTTCGTAAACTTAAATAATTCGAGGGAATTTCCGCTTCTTTAAATCTCAGATGGCAAAATCAAACGCACCTTTGTTCCCTCGATAAACCACAGTCGACAAAACTGCTTCAATATCCCATATTTCTCTAAATCATGCTTTGAATGGACAAGAAATATATCACGGCCACTGAGCGTAAATAATTTGCGACATCACGACTTTAATTATTTCAAGTGTTCTGCTTTCAAAATGATTAAAGAGGTGTCAACAAACATTTCAAAAGCAACCAATAAAAAAAGCTATTTTTTTTGTTTCGAATAAATTAAAAACCAGAAGGCGAAAAAGTTTGAATAAATTATGTATGGATTTTCTAGCTTTTACATAAAAAGTTTTTTCAGTAAAGTGCTCTCATTTACAATCCCAGTACTCTCTTCTTCTTCTGTCACAAGAGAAACCAATTTCTTCCCACAGTTGCACTAAATACAACTCTTTATCAATTTCTTTGTATCGGGAAATTCTTTCATATGTTATTCCGTCGATATACTCTCAAAGTTCCTTTTATAGATACAAAAGTTTTATGTCACAGGACCATGATAGAAATATTGCCTTTTGCGTGAAAATTTTCCTGCAAATTATCTTCGATAATAAGTGAGGCGGGATGTTTTTCCAGATTCTTATATATTCCTTTCCGAAGAAAGATCCGACGAGCGTTTAGTATCCCAAGGAAGATCTAGCTCCACGCACATCAAAGTGCTTGTCTGATTGTCTGCTTCACTGCTTGTCTTACTTCTCTAATCTTCCAGCAGGAAATAAATGGATTTAATGTAGAGTTAAATTGAACTAAGCCTACTGCTATTTCCCAGTAAACAACTAAGTGCGATGGATATATGCTACTAGGGCTGATAAAAATTTCCATTATAACAAATGGTAAATAACAAACAACTAATGCAAACTGCACCCACAGTGCACTGTACACTGCTTTTCTGTATTTCACCATGTTCAATGCATTTGGTTGGCTCGGCTGTTGTTGAACATGATGTTGTACTTCAGCCTGATGACGACTGAGAGTACGAAAAATCTTTGTGTACGAGATGATTGAGATTAGCAGAAGAAGTAATGTGCTTAATGTGCTTACACGGCCAAGCCATAAGGTTATACGGTAATTTGAAATATACCACAGCCCAGAAAAACTTGAGGTAACCCAAAAGGTAGCTACAATGAGATATGTGCGTTTCAAAGTTACAATTTGTTTGTATCTCAGCCCCAACAACAGGGCGAGAAGTCTGTCCACGCTCATGGCCGTCATCGTTGACAAAGACACTCCACATAATTTATAGCCTAGTATGAAGGCGGCGTCGCTTGCGTACCGACAAAGACTCCAGTTTTCTTGAACCACGAGCATCCAATAAGTGGCCATGATAGGCTGGCTAAAAATACCAACCAACAGGTCAGTTGTTGTCAGACAACGATACAAGAGTTTGGACGGCGGGTGAAGGGAAGATTCCTTGTGAAGGGCAACAAGGATAAGAGAATTCCAAAGAAATGTTGTGATGGAGAGGAGAATGTAAACTGCTGAGAAATAGATTGATTGTGGTTGTAATCCACCAACCACAGAAGGAGAGCACCGAAAATCTACAAATGCTTTCGTCTGTGTTCGATCTTCGGTCAGATTTGTTTCCGGCATCATTCTACAGTCGTTACGTTTTTTTTCCTTCAGGTTACGTGTGATTGCAACATGAAATGTTGCGCCCAGCCTTGAAATCACTTAAACTGCGTTGATCACTTAAACTTTGTTGTTTTCACAATAATCATATGAAAAATTTTCCAGTAGCGTTTTTTGTCCAAAAAAAATGGTGAACTATTTTTCTTAAAGCCTCACTTTTGCCTCAGCTATGATTTATCAAAACGAGGTGAGAACAAAACATCCACGAATGTCAATATTTTATGGCGCGATGGACAATCTTTCGTCAACAATGTCATGCACTGCAAATTGTTATTTGGTTAGAAATCCTTGATTTTATATTTCCATCAGGGTGTCAGGATTTTTAATTAACAAGAAATCTCGAGTCAATATTTAGTTCTACCTTGGTGACATGTTTCTCAGATCGATCGCCATCAGGAGATGCCTGTATAGTTCTCCTTTGCTATTTCTGCACCTTTCTTCGTAAAATGGTTATGATAATCTGGTGTCGGGCGATGATAAAAACCCTCAAATTAATAACAATTCTTTCTCATCGCCTGTGTTCTGTATGATCTCTTCATTTGCACGAAAAGACTTAGCCTTTAATTCCTTCCGGGTTTTCATTGATTCAAATAAGTTCATACAAGTCAGGAAGTTCATCGGCACCATTTCGACTATATCTACAAACAAATGTTATAAATATAAGTCTTCTCCACTTTTACGAAATATTTTGCCATCAAACGAATAAAATTTCTGATTAATATTGAAGGGATTTCTTCAAGAATAAAGTGTATGAAATTTTTACTAGCCTCAGGAAATACTACAGGAGACTACAACATCTTGAAAGTTGATATTTCACTAGGCTTTTATCTCTTGACACTTAGGGCCAGTTGTTTAAACAAAGTTTAGTCGTTCTTTGACAAAACTGCGTTCTGAGCCATCTTCAATTTAGATGAACCTTTTATCCGAGCATATATTTTTGTGAACAGTATATCAAGAGAGCCGAAAGCTAATAGAGGAAATATACGTTATTCACCAGCCAAGGTCGGTCCATATTGGGAAAAACTGTGCTCGAGGTCTTGAATACCTCTACATACACAAGACAGAGGGCACAGTTTTTCCCAATACAGACCGACCTTGGCTGGTAAATAACATTTTTATTTTTTTCCAAAATCTAACAAATGGTTGCGAAAAGAACCTGAATGATAAAAGGCTGTAAGTACGGAAAGATTCTCTATAAACTGAACAATTTATGAGGAAGTAGATGGTAGAGAAAACAAGGGCAATGCAAATGAAAGAGAGAGGTTTCATCAAAACATATTTATTTGCGTAATGATATTAAAAGGTGATTTAAAAGGCTTCCAGGAAAACTTCGAAACATTTTTGAAAAGTATTTGTCACGATCTGACACCTGTCAATTTAAGAGTGAGTAGGGACAAATCACATGCGCATTTTTTAACAAACAACAGTTCTGATTGTCAGCATGGCAAACAAATTTAAGCCAAATGACTCTGCAATGATAAAATCTTCAATGAAAAAAGTCAAAGGATCCGAAGGAAAGTATTTTCCGAAGACAATGGATTAAGTTCAGTTAACTAATCAAAATCGGAATCATCGCTGATGATGATTCTTCTTTTCTTGGGCTTCGTGGACTTTGGGCTGTCTCCTTTTTCACGAGGAATGTTGAACGTGAAGGTGTAGCCTTCAATTTTCCCGATGCAAGCAAGCGCCTGAGAAAACTTCTAATTTACTGACATCTTTGGGAAGATTCGCCGGCAAAGTGGCGTTCTCGTGGACGCTTATTGTCGATGTCTGAATACTTTCTTGGCCGGAGCTGCTTAAAATTAAGGACATTTTCCGCTGATGGTCGGCGGACGCTGCTTTGTAAGAATCGAGGCTCTTCAAATTTCTGTGCCCGCTTAATTGAGCGACGTAATTTAAGGGAACCTCTGCATCCATCAGGCGAGATATACAAGTTTTTCGAACAGTGTGATTGTTAAAATTTCCCTGCAAGCCTGCTGATTGCGCAGCTGTTTTCATCAGCTTATAAATCTCGTTTTTGCCGAGTGGTGCCCTCATGTACCAGATGTTGCTGCCAGGTCGTCGCCGATAATTTATGGCCAAGTAAAACGGGCTGTCAGCGCTATTCATTTCTTCTGGACGGTGACTCTTGAATTCCTTGTAATAGAAAACTGGACAACGTTCGTTGTTTGTTGCCTGCGCGGTTGGAATAAATGCTCGTGTATCACCATTGCCGCGGCGGGTCTTGGATCCTCTTTCTGATTTCCAAATCAGAAATTCCTTGCCTGTTCCGCTGTCTGTTTGAAGAACAATGTCGCCCCATTTTAGTTTCCTGCTTTCGTCTCGGGCACGGAATCTAAAGTGCAGTGCCAGTAACCACCAAACTGTGCGTTGGAGGGCTTCAGGGTTTTCAGCGCCGAATTTACAGGTGCGAAACAATAAATCTTCTTCGGCGTTGGATAGTTCTTTTGCAGCGTGAGGGCTATTTCCTTTCGCTTCTTCAAAAACCAGCTGTTTCTTTTTGGAGAGAAGAACTTCCCTGGACTTAAGGAATTCTCGGTCTTTGAGAATGTTCAGTTTGGAGTTCTTGTCGTTTAGATATCGTCGCAGGCTTCTTTGAAATGATTGTGGCGTTGCCGGCTCATACGATCCGCTATCTTTCTTCTTTATCACTATCAGGAACCGACATCTCAAGATGCTAAGCTCGTCTGCCGGTATTTCTTCAATTTTCCTGGCCTCGCCCACCTCAAGAAAGAATCTTTTCCAAACGTGAAGGTCGTATTCTGTTTTTTTCACCGTGTTTTTTTTGCACACTCGCCATCGTAAACTGAGCCTTCTGTTGGTTTTCTTTCCGTTGCGAACCGATATTTTCTTTGTCACTGAATTTTTCTACCTCATCAGGGTAATAAAACTCGCTCTCGCTGTGGTCTGAGTCCATGCCGAAATTTATATTTGCCGTAAAAAGTTTACACGATAAGCATCAATTTAGTAAATAAAAAGCTGCAACGACGCAATTGATGGAATCTCATCACGCAAAGGATCGGATACCGCCCGCTGTGAGCGGGCCCGATGGGGAGCATACTACCCGCTCTTGGAACCAATCAGATTGCAGGATTTGTAGAATACCGCCCGCTCACGACCTGAGAAAAAAACTAGAACATTTATTTTACTAAATCAACCCTCTTGTAGAGAACACCCGAGGTTCACTGCTTGAGTAAATCCGTGGTTTGGGTTAGACCTCGGGTCTTAAAGTTTTGATGAAATATACAATTTATATTGCTGCAACACTTTTCAGTATTTGCAATAAGTTTCCTTCTTACTAATCAGTTAGTTTCATTTAACAAATAGAGAAACCTTGACTGTGCTCTGTTCTGTTATAAAGCACGCAGGAAGTGGTTAGAGCACGAAAGAAGTGTAGGGAGAAACACGAGACGTAGTCGAGTGTTTCCCTCTACACTTCTTTGGTGCTCTAGCCGCTTCCTGCGTGCTTTATAACAGAACAGAGCACGGTCAAGGCTTCTCTATTTGTTTTATAATAAAGCATCCGTTAAATTTCCCAAGCAAACTCCCAAGCATTACTTCCAATTTTTAAAACAAACTTCATTTCTAAAGCCAACAACAGTGTCGTCAGTATGCTCTATACTCTCATAAAGCACGCTACAATAAGCCAATCAGAATCCCTTTTAGAATGGTTCAAACAATCTGATTGGCTTTACAAGACGAAAGCTGTCAAAAGTTTCAAACCATCAAAGTTCACAATCTGCGATAGTTTATAAACTAAAATAGTCCGGCAGGTCGAATTTAACACTTTTGCCTGAAGTTTTTAAGTCTTTAATACAGCATCTTGAGGTGAAATGTTAAGTTAACTTCAGCCGAATTATGGCTCATAAAACACGCGAGTTTTTTTCACATGACAAGGTAGAAAACAGACTGTTTTTCCTATTGTTTCGATCGTCTTGCAACTAAAAATAGAAGTAAAATCTATTGGTAACGAATGAGGAACGAAGAATAAAAAACATGGAGGTCATCAAGAATAATCTCGCCAAAGACCTTCCTATATACCAAGGAGTTATACCACTGGATTCGACATGTGTTAGTAAGCTACTTTCACCTATAACATGATATCCAGTTAGGACCAGCATACTGTTTCCCCTATTTCTCCATTTTAAACGATTCCAATCCTAATAGTGGTATGATATTTTTTAGAAAAAAGCCAGTGTCAACTCGAGACTCTTTCTTCCCAATGACGCTCTTAATGGGCTCAATAAGCTCCCAAAATTCTCTTAAAATGCATTTTTGTTCGTGTAACAGGAATGTCTCTGATTCTCGAAGTCGATGTTGCCGCAGCAACTGAGACTTCTATTTTGATTCTGTTATTTCGCGACGCAAAACAACCCATGGCATTTACAGTTTGACTGTTAAACCTAAAATGAAGATGTGTAGACACTAGCTGAATAGATTAATGAATCCAGCTGACGATTAATGCAATGAGCGTATGTCTGTGACGAGAAAATTTTGCAGGGATTTTATTCTACGCATTAGCGTTAGTTCATGTCTTGTGTGAGCAAATTATTTTGATTTGAGTCGATAGAATTATCTGCTGAGAATTTTAGCGATTAGCGATTTCTTGCTCAACCCGACAGAAAATTAACGAAAGGAAGAAAACTATAATTTGAGCGAATCATTTTGGTGATGTGAAGGGAAGATCATGTCGTTAATGACTCAGCAGTTTTATACTACTCATTTTTTTTCGCTATTTTCTGTTCACCTTGAGAATCTACTAAATAACCTTGGCGTTACCTTGGAGTGACGTCACCTTGGAGTGACGTTTTCCTCGTTTTCCTTACAAGCAGAAAAATACAAACGAGACAGGAAATTGCTGCTGATTTTCCAATTCTGAATGGCGAGTCGTTCCTACTGCTATGTTTTAGTGTCAGAAACTCGCGTTAAGTTTGTTTTAAATACACGGTGAAACGATGCCGTCGGCAAAGTATTTCCGGTAATAAGTTAGCTTATTGATAAGAACATATTCTGCCTGTAGGTTTCATTAGCAGTTTAAATTCTTACGCCTATTTCAAAAAAGTTCCGTTGTTTCTAAGCTTTGGTAGGCGAAAAGACATCGGATCAACTCCCAGCTGGTGTGTTTGGACAAAAATTTCGTTGGATATAATGAGGCACACCAAGGTATTTTCAGGGAAGTTATAGTAGCTGGAATATTCTTTACTGCTAGAGTAACAATTCAACTTTTTTGGCTCATTTGAATACTTGCTGTCTTATTGTAGACGAAGGGCAAATATATCTAGTAACTGACAGGAAATATAACAACTTTTGTTTATTTTTTCACGAGTAGACCCGGCATTAATAAATGTATTTTCGCACGTTCTCACAAAAAATAAAAAGATCAGTTGGTTGTTTCTGTTATATCACCCTGGTCTTTTGCATGCTCTTGACCTGAATTGACCTTAGTTTTTTCCAAATCAATAGCATACACGTAAACATCCTATAATTAAGTTAACGTATACGTGCGAATCTGAAAACGCACATGAACCTTTTCCAGTGCTGGATATTCATCCGACGGTCCCTTTCGGCGCATGAATAAAAAGCAGTTACACACAACAACCTCAACTATTAAACTATTATTATACTATATACACTATAACTATACTATACAGTTATATAAACGACAAGTTTTCCTTAGTGCTCATTATTTGCTTAACTGAAAACAATCCTGGGTTTATTTGCGTGGTGGCAATTGAAGTATATCCTTATGAATAATCAAATGTGTTCAATCGCAATGCATTTCATCGGCAAGTGTAAAATGTGATAGTGCAGTCTGATCGGGTGAGTGTCGTAAGTTGATGATGTTCAGCAATGTGATTGCTGATATCACGTTTCCTCTTCGCCCGCATGTGTTCACACAGTCTTGTTGTGAGGTTTCCGCCAGTCTCTCCAGTGTAGAAAGCTTGGCAGTCGGAGCAATTGATCTAATAAACCGCTCCCTGTCAAAGAAAAACTACAACGCCGACTTCATCCGACGAAACATTCACCCACCTATTGCAACTACCGAAACAAACCACAACGCAACTCCTACGACTACGGCAACCATACCGTACATAAAAGGCATGTATGAGAACATCTTGGGCATCCTAAAACCCTTTAATATCCACGTCGCCCACAAACTCATCACCAACTTACGTCAGTTAAGAACAAACGTGAAAAACAAAGAGCGGTTTATACGAAGCACATTATAGACTGGGACTCTGCAAAATGCCTAACCTACAGTATTAACTACTTTCAAAGACCAAAAAAAACTGGTTTGCGTGCGCGGACTAGACTCCCCTCAACAGGTGTTAACTACTACTGGCACCTTGCAAACGACTCATTGACGACGTTAACACTACAAATGAAACGAACAGAACGACCAAACTTTACTAACGGATGGAATCAGATCAATCACGACCGACTTACGCTACTTGAGTCTTACAGCCAATAACATCACGGCAAAACTGACCAATCAGCTTATACGAACCGGACTTAGAACATTCGACTGACAATGCAACAACCATTTACTTGACTCTGATGACGACTTCCACTCAGTTTGTCGAAACGTCAGTCACCACCACCGAAAGGAGTCCTTCTCAAGGCTACAAGCACTCGGACGATCAGATTACACTGTCGTATGTTACCCCCAGGCTAAAACCATTTACTGTAAAAGTGTAAAATAGCCGACGACATTCTACTAGGACTACTAACCGGAGTACCTTCTGATTAGGCGTCATGGCACCAAAACCAGATTAGTAGCAACAGCCAATCAGAACCCAGATTAAAAACAAACAAGCTACCAAAAGCGCGGGAAAAACGTTAATAACCATGACACCGGTATCGCAGAGGTCATGAGTTCAATTCCCGTACAGGCGTGAATTTTTTTCAGGCCTTATTTTCACTACTGCTTAAGTAGTGTAAATTATTGCTAGGATCACTTTCATATTCAAACCATGACACTGTTGGTTTAAGCCTTCCGTCTGATTGGTTGAGGGGGTAGCACGAATTCTATGAACCAATCAAGGAGCGAAGTAAATAAAGCCAATGAAACTATGAATTACTTTCATAGCTAACTTGCAAATTGCTCCAAAGCTATAAAGTTGGGATTGAAACCCAAACAAGAACCATGAAAAGAGCACCGTTACAGTGAGCTTCAATTCGATAACATTTCTGCTCTAAGAAACGAAATTTTCAAAAATCGGACACTATGACGTTTTTACCTAAGGTTAGTGCTTTCTCACGTGACTTCGTCGGTGCGCATGATGACGAGGCAGAATCACGTGATTTTACCCCTATGAGGGAGATGCGATGGCGTAATGGTTAGTGCGCTGGACTCCGGGTCAAGAGGTCTGGGTTCGAAACCTGGCCAGGTCATTGTGTAGTGTTCTTGGTTTGTCGGTCGGGATTAAGAAATAATAGTAAAATAATAAAGTAAGATGAGATCGTAGCTCTTCTGAGTCACTATGACTTGAGGTGGCAAAAGTCATCTGATTGTGCTTATGTCATTACTTTATGGAAGATATTCTTCTATTGTTGCCAGGTTGAAAATATTTTTTTTGAAAAGTAAAGCAATAGTTTTCTGAATTCAAAATCATTCCCATACATCTTAATTTTTAGTTCAGTATGTCCTACATTTGTAAGGATACTTCAAGGAATGGCAAAAAAATCCACAGTGGTCCCTCTCCTGCTTCCTGGCCCTGCTCCTCCCCCTCAGTGGCCTGCAGGCGGAAGTAACTGGTATGGTTGAGACGAATGTCCTTGATAATCAACTGCAAACAGGACAAGTGGAGATGCCCACTCTTGTAGGTGCGGTAAAAGACAGTGGTGTCGTTGATGTTACACTCGAGGAAGGTGAACAGCAACAAGAAACCATTTCCAGGGAAGGTGAACAAATTGGTAAACACGAGATCGTTAAGGTGTTTTGCCATCGTGGTAGCCAGACGAGACTGCGTTCACAATCTATCTCTAAGGACGCAGAAAGTTTGAATTCACATTTCTAATTCAAAGTGAGTAGAAAACGAGCGCAAATGTTTTAAACTAATTTTACAAAGCTATTGTTCATTGAACTGAGCTACGCTGACAGTCTCCTTCATAGGGGAAAGCAGTTTAAAACTTTAGCATGGAGGCTACGCATACTCTTTTCTGGGAACTAGGAAGTAACGCCGAGGAAGACTTTTTTGTTGATTGATGTACGTCTTCGCTAAACATTTTTTGGGGCTCATGTCATATTAATTAATGTTCGCCTCTCCTTTTCAGATTTTCGTTACCAACGCATATATGCCACCGTCAAAGGATTCTTTACAAAACGATTTAATCTAGTAGAGTATCTCTGTCTAATCCGAAGAACTAGTGATAATTCTATCACTCCAAAAGACTTAAACCCCTTAACTCCCAAGATCTGATTGTTAATTCTCCTCTCTCGCTGCTACACATTTCCTTTTAACGAGCTGTTCAATCATTTGATTTATGCATACGGTATTTCATTTTCGTCAAACGCTTAAACGTTAATTCATATGATCAAATTTCTTTCAAACAAAGAACACTAATCAAGAAGAAAACGGCTTTGAATGGAACATGAACTCGATAGACTGGAAAAACGTAAAATAATAAAAAAAATGTAAAAATAATAAAAATAAAGTATAACTAATCAGATCGTATGAAAGTGAGAGTCATGTGAAGCGCTCGAGAAGTATTTTAGTAATGTTAAGGTATGTGTATACGAAGTATGCTGAGTTTTTGGGAGATTTCTACTCCAAGCGCAGTCTATTAAGTATATTTTGGTTGCTTTTGGCCTCGCACCAGCTGCAGGCATTGTAATCAACAACGTATGAATAACTGGGTTTAGTTTCTAAGGAAATTGTGGTGCCGCGTCGGTGAGGGGTACAACGAGATAATTTGGTTTTATAATCCAACTGCACAAGGTAGAGTTCAAATAATGCGAATATATGTATATACCACATGTGTACAGTTGGTTATTTTGTACTGTAAAAAAACCTGTTTAACCGGTCGGCTACGCACGCTGCGCTTCTCTATCCACTTTGCTTTTCCCGCCTTATGAGAAATGAGCAGAAAGACAAATGCGGAATAAAAAGCAGTTGGATCATAAATAACCTAGTAGACTATTCACTGGCTTGTAGTATTGCCTAGTACTTTCACTCCTTGTTTGAATTTGACGAGCCTGTGGGGAAAGTCAAAATACGGCACAACTCATAAAAATATTCAGGTATGCCACCGCCAGATAAAGAAAATCCGAAAAAATCCGCAAAAATCACCATGAATCTTATTTCGCAAGATGATCATCTCGCAGCTGGAGTTTGGGCTGCCTGTGGTGTGAGTTCAGACAAGGTGAAGTAACGCGATATTTTCCTCCGTTTGAAGGTCATGCTCTTTTTCTGTTACAAAAATGAAAACATTAGGTACACAAAGTGTCCCATCTCAACCCGCCCATGCTACGTATACCTATGTTCTTATAGATGATGTCATGGATCAGGGGGCTGTGCACAAAGAATAACATTAACCAGAAATCTTGGGCTCATTTGATAAGTGTGGTGGTTTGTGGTCTTCGCGAGAGCCTCGTTGATTAAGGTCGAGATTTATCGGGACATGAAAGTTTCGCATTTCATTTTTTGTATTATTTTTAAGTCAAACGTGTTTTTACGGCTCCTTTACGCGCAACGAACACGCCTAACAACTCACGTTCCATCACGTACCATAAAAACAACGTCCAAAGTCCATTAGAATATACCCAATCATTGCACTACGTGAACATTAGGCAATTTTTCACGCGCTTGAATTGTATTCCATCAACCAAATTCGCATCTACGCGCGCCCGTGTATTATTCACTATTTATGACTCATTTCCTCGGGAAAGTTCACAATGCGTCATCAACTTTTGGTTTTCCTGAGAATGTCACGCAATGGTAAAAACATCATTATGGTCGTGAAACAAAAAGTGAGTCATTTGCATCATTTTGGTGGCAGCGAGAAATTTTTAACGCTCGCCATCCCCAGCTCGAAGCGTTGCTTCTAGGTTATCGCGAGCTAAATTTCAGAGGAATAAAATCAAATATTCCTACGTCGTGAGACCACTAGGAAAAGAGTACCCTCTCGACACCGTTCGTGTTATAAGTCACCTTCTGAAGAACTCATCCAAATAACTTCGGTCTTGCAAAATTTTACAAATTTAACAGGTTCTTAAGGACGAATTCAACGCTCCATCGCTGACGAAACGTCGTTTTAAGGTAAGCTCTGAAACAATTAATTAGACCAAGAGGATTTTTGTCTCACCCACTCGCAGTGTTCCATCAATAACATTGCCAGTTTGTATTAACAAAGAAAAACTTATTACATTGTAAAATATAGACAATCCGGTATGAGGCGTGGGGTCTTGGTTTCATATAGGTCTTTCAGCAAAGTGAGCCGGCAACAACACACTAGACCATATGATCGCAGACAAGAGCAAGTTATGAAAATGTTATCGATTATTGATTATAAACTACCGTCTACGTGTTACATCCTGTTCGCATTATAGAAATTGAAAGAGGAAGCAGTTGTCACAAACACACGTTTCGAGGGTAAGATGTAAAACGCTCCTTGCTTATTAAATGATACAAAACTTGGCAGGTATTTTAAGTCAGAGAAAATTTTAAGGCGACAAATCAAAATACGAATTCTTTAACACATCATTTGACCTCTTTTGAAAAAATGTAGGTTATATTAAGAACACAGCGTAACTGAATATTTATCAGCACACCTGTAGAAAATGAAAATAAGCTGAAATCCAGCTCACACATAGATTTTGGAATAAATGATCGTCTTCTTTGCTCTTTTTTTTTGTCCTACATAAATTAACGAGTGAACCACATGCTCCTCGTTCTTGTTCGTCATAACTCGAGTCGGAAATTGAACGAAAATTTGAAATGAGATTGCCTAATTGCATTTGCTCGTTCCACATAAAATCATGAGTGCTACCCGTTGGTGATTTTCATTGAAGGCATTCTGGGTGGCGAATATTTATCTATTAGTTTAGTTTGAAATGACAGAAAGAAATAGATCCTGAACGATCTTGGCAGGAAAATTTTGAAGATCCGTAAAGATCTTGGCAAGAAAATTAAAGATCTTGGAAAGAAAATAAAAGACCCCTGAGGATCTTGACAAGAAAATGAAAGATCCTTGGAGATTTTGAACATTTTTTTTTTATCCCACACATTTCTTTATAATTGTTTCTTGGCCAAGGCCTGGAGAGGTCAAGTATGATCGATATCTAGGATTTCTGGTAATGGAAAACTACCTTGTTGTCTCAAATAGAGTGAATTAATACTTAGAAACGAAATTACCATCAGAAAAGCAAGTAGAAGGAGGCAGTAGGGGAGGGGGTGTGCAGATTTTTGGGATATGTATATTTCTTTTTATTTTGCTTCCCTGACCTAGTCTACTGATTACAAATTTTATCTCATCAATTAAATTCCATTTTGCCAAATTAAACTTCGCTCCATCACGTGTCATTTCCTTGTAAACAATCTGCATTTAATCACGTATTCTAATCGCAATGTCCAACCCCACTGGAAAAAATTCACACTAACTGCTACCGATAGTGAACTTTTAACGCAATTCTCCCGCGTTTTGACTTTTTCTACGAATAAACTCGGCTTTTAACTACCTTGAACTTAATCCAATCGCGTGTTTATTCCTTGTAAACAACCTGCATTTTATAAAGTATTTCACACACAGTGGGCAAAGGCCAGATAGGCAACAACCAATCAAGGAGCCCTCTCTCAAATATTATCCTTTTCTCTTGTGAAATGTATCTTCATTGGTCGAGATCGCAATATATCTTTGGTTAGAGTCTATTGGAGATACAACAGAGTTTCAGTTTGATTTTCGTAGTAGAATTACATGGAATTATATTTTTAGGCATATAACTGTAGACGAATAATTTTGATTTTCTCTCTGGTAGAGGAAAGGCAGTAAGCGTGGTCTCTTTCGCAACTATTATTTGGTCTCATCACGCTACGCGCTCTCTCTCCGTCGGGGAATAGATGGCGTTGTGTGACGAGACCAAACAACTGCTGCGAAGGAGAAAACAGTAAGCGTGGCACCGATCCATTTTATTTTTGCTTAGAAGTATTTAGACGGTATCCGCCGCTTTCGCCCCCTATCGAGTTCGCCCCCACCTTATACCATGTTCGCCCCCACACTTTTCGAGTTCAACCCCATCAAGTCGAGTTCGCCCCCAGATTGAATCATGTCTAAATTAGTTGCTATTGAACATTGCAAACAAGTTAGAACCAGGACAAGTTTTGAATTTTAATTGACCGACGGCCATTTTGAAAGTTTATATGTACGTGGGAGCTAAGGAGATGAAAGCGTGGTTTGCGATCCTGGTTTGCATTTTCTCAAGTCTGGTTGCTATGACCTTAAAACACAATGAAGTGTGCAACGCATTCTCTCAAGAATTCTTAAGTAATCAAAAGCGTGATCAAATCGTGGTCTCGTAAATTCTTCAGTCTTAATTTCATAAATAAAGCTAAACGAGGTACAAGTCTAACTACTTAAGCAATGCTGTTGCGATGAAAGCGTGGTTTGCATCTTCTCAAGTCTGGTTGTTACGATCAATACATTTCGTGTTCGTTAGATAAACCCAGATTGTTTTACATCTTTTCCAGTCTGAATAATAAGTTAAGCAATGTTGTTTTGATTAAGAGTGGTTCTCTCTATCACAAGTTCAGTGTACACAGTTATTTCTGGTAACCCCAGATCCCACGCAGAGTATTTAGTTGATTCCGTCAACCCAGTTCCCAAGCAGGTTCCACGCAATTGCCGAAATTCAAAATGGTCGTCGCTGACGTGACATTTGGCACATTCTGCTAATGCCTTCGTCACAAATCAACTCATCTGGATATCACTCAATCTGGGGGCGAACTCGACTTGATGGGGTCGAACTCAAAAAGTATGGTTGCGAACACGGCATAAGGTAAGGGCGAACTCGAAGGGGCGAACTCGATAGGGGGCGAACGCGGTGCAATTCATTTAGACAATAGAGAAAATAGACCAGAAGATACCTGTGTGAGTTAAGCTAAATTACCTTTTTCTCTCTTTCTCTTAAGGTGAAGTAATGCAATAATTTCGATCTTTTATAAAGTTATGCTCTTTTTCTGTTACAAAAATAAAAACATTAGGTACACAAAGTGTCCCATCTCATCCCACCTGGTCAAAAAAATAACTCTTGCATGCTACGCATGCCTATGTTTTTACTTGGAAGCCAGACCAGGTATGACTGAAAATGGCACCTCGCTTTGATAAGAATCCTTTTGTTGTTGCTTCTTACTTCCTGAAATTATCACTTGAAATTCGCTCGGTAATGTAAAAAAAACAACAACAACAACGCGAGTAATACTTATATATCCAAATTCTTTTATCACAGGATAAGTTGTAGGACCTGAGAGCATCTTAGGGACGGACCATTAGATTTTTGATGCGGGGGAGGGGGGGGAGGGTGTTGGGCAATAACCCCCGAAAAATCGAGCACCGGCTAGCGGCTCAATGGAAGAAGACAAATCGTGCAATTGGCAAAAGACCCCCCCCCCCCCCCCGCATCAAAAATCTAATGGTCCGTCAATAAGGTACCTTTTACATTATTCCAAAATGGGTTTCATTCCGGAATGAAATGAATTTCATGCCGCGTTTACATGCAAGATAATTTAGATTATAAAAAAAGTAGTAAAAACAAGTATTTACGTCCTTTTTCTATGCTTCCCTCGCTTCTAAAGAGGATTCATGCAGATATGAGTGTCGTAACGCGTTTACTTTACACTGGTACAAAAGGTCGTCCAGAATAAGTGTTTCGTTCTGGAAAGAAAACCTCAATAAACTCATTCACAAATGACTTGTTTCGAATAATTTTACTCTGGTATCATGCGACAACCGGGATGAACTCGTTCTTGAACAAAACTCATTCCGAGGTCAAGTAAATTCGTTACATGAGGTCACACAACTCGGGTAATATTCAGAGTGAAAATTTGCATATTTGAGCGGTCCAACGAAAAACATCATTTCTCAAAAACTAAAATGTATTTTCACAAAAATACTACACCACAATTATTAGGACATATTGGGCTACAAAATATGAAAGTAGGAGAGAAAACGAATTTGGCCGCCGTTTGTCTGATGCATGTTGACATTAGCTCTTAATTGGCTTCTGATTTTGTGTCTATGTATCCCTCCCATTCTCAGAAGGGAAAAAATATTTGTTTTGCAACTGGGTAATATGTTGAGCTGATGTTTAGAACCATTTTCAATCACCTTTTTTTCAGGCTAGGATGACTTAAAAGAACAACTTTGTAAGAAGCATCAGTCTTCTAACAGTTGCTATGGCTACAGGAAGAAGTTCAATTAAAGTTCCATGTGAAAATGAAGACTTACCTGACAAAGAAAATGCACCAAATTTTGACGAGGACACTTTACGAGGTGAGCTAGGTTCAACTTCGGCTTCAGTAATTGTTAGGACAATTTCTATTCGATCAGGATCAGTTTCAAGAATGCAAGCAGATGTGGAAAAGGATATATACAGTGTATGACCACTTTAAAGGATATTTGGCCAATCATGACTCTCTTCTATGATTACAATATGCTGTTCATTGGGAAGATCTATGACACAGAAACTTTTGCTATTTTCTTTTCTAACAGTTCAAAGCAATAACACAAAGTTATAATAAGTTAAGACTTTATTTGATCATCATATAACATCCATTGTGTAAGTTTGCATCATAGGTACCATCATCATCATCACCATCATCATCACCATCATCTTTCTATTTTAATGAAACACAATCACTTTGAAACCTTCAACATTCCCTCCCTTCTCCTCGAGCAACCCACAGGTATTTGATCTTCATCCAAGCCAAAGAGGGTGGGGGGGGGGGGTTTAACCCTGCCTGACTGGCGTTAGGGAATTTGAATAAAAACTGTCACATCTAATTTCCAGTAGAGTACAAGTGTTAATTATCATTGAATATGGAGGTGTTTAAGGTAGATACTGTACTTTCACTAACAAATGGCTCAGAAGAAATAAGGCTTCAAGATCTAGGTTTTAAAGCTTGGTCAATTAGTTTTTAAAGCTTGATCAACTAGTTGAAAGTCAAATTGCTAATTATTTCGCCTTTTACATAAAATTGTGTGGGGCATTTGAATATTTTATTAATTTTGCCCAGGGAATGGGAATTTTAGGAAACCTATCTCCAAAAATTTAAATGCCCAGGGGTTTGCCTCAAGTTGAGTGATGCTTAATTCTCATTGTTATTCTTACCCATGATGTCACCTACATCATTGGCATCATCATAACTATTGAAAATCTGCAGATTTTAAATCTCCAGATCTTGGCAGCTCTGATTATACACTAATAATTATTAACTACGACCACAGACTTTGACACCTATTTTAAAATTTTTTTCGAATTATTTTATTTTTTCTTTGCAGCCACAGCTGATGTTTATAGAAATGAGGGTAATGAGGCCTTCAAGAAAGGAGATTTCATCAATGCTATTCATTTTTACACCAAAGGAATTAAAATGAACTGCAACGAGAAAGAACTGAAGGCCAAACTGCACAACAACAGGGCTATTGCACATTCTAAACTTGGTAAGATGATGAGAGCTTTAATAGGCATTTTTTTTCTATTTTGAAGCTATTGAGTTGTCAGTAGTAGTTTTCTGAAAAAGGTGATAATTTTGAATGCATGCCCGGAAAAATTTACATCTTATCTTGGCCTCTCAAATATACAAAGAAGTAACCTCTTACCCCAGATATCAACGAGCATCACAAGTTTTTCTCAAAATTATAGTAATGGTAGTTGGTTTGCAACATGTATGGCTAATCAGAGATATTTATTTCAATAACAGGAAATCACCAGGATTCACTAAGGGATGCAGAAGCAGCCATTGAGTTAAATCCAACTTTCCTTAAGGCAATTGTGAGAGGTTAGATATGTTAGCTATACTATAATAATAATAATAAAAAAAGAACTCAACACTCTAAGGTTAAATGAGGTTAAATGGAGTTCAATCTTGTCTCAATGGACTTTAATTAAGAGGTCGAGACCACCCTGATGTACATTTGAATCCAGCTCTTGACTGCTACGCCATTACTTTCCATTAATCATGATGAGAATATTATTTTGAACGGGGTGAGGAACTCAATGCAAAATGCAAAGCAAAATTTCAGCATGAATATTTTAGTTCCTTAAGTCCAATGAGTCACAGGTGTCAGATATGTTAAGAGCGTGTCCACGAGAGCACCGGGCGGTCGTGCTACATGCCATCTCACCGATTTCAATGAAACTTTGCCAGTTTAAAGGGTCTACCCCAAAACTCAAAACGACAAACTGGTTTCTGTTTTGGTTTTTTTTCCGGGGGGAGATAGACCACCCCCCCGGTTTTTCTTGGTTTTCACCAAGGAAATCGCTTCAAATAGGTAAAATGTATGAAGCTCTCACTGCGATGGTATTTAACTGATTACTTTGAGGATTTGCACACATATTTTTACATCCTTAGTTAATGTCTGCTGCGAGTATCAGTCAGTTTGATCGACGGCTTGTCAATCAACAGAGGCAAATATACGACTGTGTTATTAGACTTTTCGATTCATCTAAATACAACTTTGAGGTCAAATATATCCCCTTGCCAGAAAGCTACAACACTAATCTTAATTACCCTTTATAACCCATCATTTCATCTCTGAAAATCATCAAAAAAATCTTTGGGCACTACCGTATTTTTGTCTTGGATGCCTTTTAAAATCTACGACTGTGACAAGTTTCTCTCAACTACACCTGTCACGCAATTCTTGCTCTAGGCGGTCACTTGACAAAATAAACCTACATTTTTTAGCTCTTTATACAAGATGATTGATCAAGAAAGGTGAAAATTGTGAAAAACTTTCGAGAAAAACTTTCGAGATACATGTAGACGAAAAATCAATGGGAAAATTGTAGCGTTTCTTTCTTCGGTCGTTTATTACTTTGAAGATTTGCTAAAATCAGCAGATATGGATTTTGTACGGCACAAAACATTCATTAGTCTATAATTTGATTGTTTATCATCATCACTGCTCATTTTAGGAGATTTTAAAGTCTTAGTTGCGTGTTGGCTGATATTACTACATGTTCCAGTGTGCTACAACTTCGGCTTTCACAGACGAGAAATTCTGCGCTCTCGCTCGAGAGCAAATATAAATTGTTCTATCGGACTAAAAACTGTGCTTCTATCCCGAAAATAAAATTAAAATAGTGTTGACGTTGTCACTTACCGCCATCGAACATTTACATACAGAACTCCGCTATGCTAACATCTGTTGCGTGACCCAAAGACTCTCCGTAGGAATTATTCAAGCGCGTTGTTCATGCTATCTGCTAGATAACAATTTCAGAATAATCTGCAGATCTCTATGATTATTTACCTGCTTCGATCGTAAAATATCTGCATATTTTTTCAAGCATTCTATTACTACATATAAATCTACATCTCTCTAGATCGAGTGTTGCCGGCGTTTAATTGCGTGACTTGTAAAATTTTTAAATAAGAATGAGCCAGCAGTAATTTGACAAGTAGCCTTCCTGCAAATTTCCCTTGATGAAATCCCAAGACATAGCCAGTTGTTTTCGTGAGCAAAGACAATAAATATGAAAGAAAAGTGAGATGCGAATGTCTTTTTTTTTTTAGCTTAATAGCAGCTGTACCCTCTCCTGCAGTCTTCGTCTAAATTTTGCAAGGTCCCTCCTTATCTTCTGCCTTGTTGGGTCAGTTTCGAATTCTGAAGCTAGATCATTGGCATCGGCCTCTCCGTCCTCATTCATATTTACAGAGGGGGACCTCATCAATAAACCAATTTTTGTTACGGCAGATAACCGGCTGAAGTATCGAGCGATTTGCTGCTGTATCAACCGGTCAGTCTTAGACAGCATTTCTGGCCGGTGTCGTCTCTTTAACTCTCTCGATATTTGGGAAATCACATCAGAGGCGGTTGCCTTACTAGTTTCCTCCCTTGCCCAGCACACTTCTATTCAGATAAGCGCTCTTCTTGCCCTTCTTCCTTATTCGTTGTCGACTCTAAGATAGCAGCTACAGCACGCGTTCTATTTAGGTTTACAGTCACCTTGCCGCCACCAGAAAGACTCGCCACCAGCTTTGATTTCTTCTGCCATCTGCAGATTCATCTCTCTCTCACTTTATGTCTCCGATTTTTATGAAGAGGAAACTGGCATTTACGAACCCGAAGGTCTGAATCTCACACCAAGTTGTGCACGATATTTGAGGTACATCGTGAAATCGCGGCCTTCGTAGTCTCCAAATAAGCCAATACGCGCTAGAATAAGCTCCATCTCGGACGAAACGCATGTTTGGGATACATCGACGTCTCTCAAATGTTTTTTTTTTAAGCTGTATACCCACGAATTTAGAGGTATGAGCTGTTGCCGTCCCTGGCCAGCGCGAGAAAAGTAACATTTGGTTCTACAGTTAGTTGCAAATGAACAAGACAACTGCACCATCTTGACTTTATCAATTCGAGTGTTAGATTGAATTGAGGGCTTTTTAGACACTCGATTTCTTATATGGCATCACTATGAAGACGTAATACAACTGATACACCTACACTACATAGGATTAACAATGTCTGTTGCGCTGTTGCTAGAAGGAGGAAAATATTACCGGAAGTGTACGCTCTTTTTAAAAAGAGTTTCAGAGACGTTTCAGAGATGTCTATCTTTGATCGGCTGTCACAAAAAAATGACCCCCACTTAAATTTACTAGGAAAAATGAACTTACCAACTCCTTGTTGAAAAAATTGGAATTCATTTGACCGATACGCCGGTTGTTTCAATTTTTCTTTTTCCTCGGGCTGCTATGAAACAGTTCATAAATTGACTAATGAATAAAGTGTTTTGAAATACCGTTCGGGATTTGCCTTTTTTTTCTGCGTGCAAATCAAGGGTAGACAAAGTTTTTAAACATTTGACTAGATTTTCATGGAGTTCACCTGGATAATTTTCGTCGGCCAGAGTCAAGACGCGCCAAGCTAAGCGACATCGCCCTCCAGTAAAAAAATTTTCCAAAGAATAAACGTGGCGAGCGTGAGGAAACGCACATTTTTTTCATCATTGTGATCAAAGCCCGATGATGTACCTAAATTGGTACTTACGGTATCAAACCATTGATTATGACAGGGTGAGCTTAGTTTTTCTGTCGAGGTCGACGTGACTTCACATTAAAAGCATTTTTGACGGAACAAACTAGTGAGCATCACTGCACGAACTGAGAAAGTAAAAACTTGTATTTATCTCCCACGCGTTTCGTCTGACAATAGTAGACTTCATCAAGGATTTTTTCAAGTAGGGTAAATAAGCTTGCTCATATACAAATAGTAAATAAGTTGTCTCTTTACTATTGAAGTCAGTGGATAGAATACGCCAGGTGCGCCTACGGTGTTATACATGCGTGACATTTTCCGGACGTTACATGTACGAGTACGTGATCCGTTTAAGGGTCACAGATTTAGTGTAAATATTTCACTCCTCAACATCACCCAATGTCTCTAGTTTACAGAGGTCTTAGAACGTTTCATTATATGGAGTTGCCTTCTGCGGGTAGAAGGCTACAAGCGAATTTCTCAGGCGTAATTGCCTTTGATTTCTCAATTGATGTTGTCGCAAACACAGTTTTTGGGAGTCACGAGACAAAAAAACTTATCAGAACCTAGTTTCATGTTCTAATGGAAATAAATAGCAAATAAAAACACATTTTCTTGAGAAATAAAGTCACAAATGAGGGGGGTTCTCTGAAACAAATAGTGATAGAAGAGGATTTCAGTTCTGGTCAATATTGACTTTTCATGGCCTAATTCCAAATCTGAGGGAACGTGCTGAGGGAATAAAAAAACATAAATGTGTGATAATGCAAGCAAGAGAATGAAAATACAAATAAAGAAAAAGGAGAAAACATAGGAACCCGTGTTGCAGCGTGCAGATATCTTTTGAACCAGACCTACACACATAAGCCCGACACCAGCCAGAGAAACTCGAAAGAGTCCTGTATATGAACTAGCTCGCACATGCACGCAGGAAAGGCCATGACAATCAGCGAAAATAATAGCAAATGCAGATGACATTTGCAGTCAAAAAACAGGAAAATAAGATAACAGAAGGATTAGGAACTTTCTAGAAGTGCCTTCTTGAAAAAAAAGATGAACAATTTTTACTTCTCATAAAAGGTCACGCAGTGACCCTACAAATACTATTCCTATACGTGGAATTTCTTGATGGTGGAAAGTGGAAAAAACATTTTCCAGTCTTATTTTCTGGAAACATGGCGTAGTTAATGAATTCATGGGGCTATTGATATTTCCTAACAAATAAGGAGGGCAGAGTTTCCCGTCAGTCGCGGTATGGAAAAGCCGAAGTTGTTACACTCGGGAACTTGTACGTCAACAAGCAGGCGACATGTGACTTTAAAATCTCCTCTCCTGTTACAGTTTCCTTATCGTAAACTGTGCGATAATGATAATAGACGATCAAAGTATAGTCTAATGAATTTTTTGTTCTGTACAAGAGCCCTATGTCCTGATTTTAGCAAATCTTCAAAGTAATAAACGACTGAAGAAAGAAACGCTACGATCTTCCCATTGATCTTCCGTCAACATGCATCTCTCTAAACGTGAAATTTTCCATTCCTACAAAAAATCTCGAAAGTTTTTCACAGTTTTCACCTTTCTTGACCAATCAACTTGTATAAAGAGCTAAAAAATGTAGGTTTATTTTGTCAAGTGACCGCCTAGAGCAAGAATTGCGTGACAGGTGTAGTTGAGAGAAACTTGTCACAGTCGCAGATTTTAAAAGGTATCCAAGACAAAAATACGGTAGTGCCCAAAGATTTTTTTGATGATTTTCAGAGATGAAATGATGGGTTATAAAGGGTAATTAAGATTAGTGTTGTAGCTTTCTGGCAACGGGAGATATTTGACCTCAAAGTTGTAAAATATTTAGATGAATCGAAAAGTCTAAAACCAAAGTCGTATATTTGCCTCTGTTCATTGACAAGCCGTCAATCAAACTGACTGATACTCGCGGCGGCCATTAACTAAGGATGTAAAAATATGTGTGCAAATTCTCAAAGTAATCGGTTAAATACCATCGCAGTTAAAGCTTCATACATTTTACCTATTTGAAGCGATTTCCTTGGTGAAAACCAAGAAAAACCGGGGGGTGGTCTATATCCACCCGGAAAAAACCAAAACAGAAACCAGTCTGTTTTTTTGAGTTTTGGGGTAGACCCTTTAAACTGACAAAGTTTCATTGAAATCGGTGAGATGGCATGTAGCGCGACTACCCGGTGCTCTCGTGGACGCGCTCTTAAGTCACTATCTAGCTGTTTTAAAAAGAAGGATCAGGACTTACCTAACTTTTAGTGTTTTTGTGGGAGTTGTTGATCCCAATTTAAGTGTTCTTAGAAGTTTCAGTTGTCTGTAAAGCTAAATAAATCTAACTGAAACCTAATAGGGCCTGTTTATTCTTTTCCGTTTAGTTTTTTTGTATTGTTTTGTTTTGTCTTTTTTTTTTCTTCTGGTCTGTGATGATTTCAATGGTTTCAGGTTCTTTTCTCAGAATTGAGCTACAGTAACAGTATGCTTCTTTGTGTTGTTGCCTACAGGAGCCGCTGCTTGTATTGAATTGAAGAGATTTGAAGAAGCAATCACTTGGTGTGATAAGGGACTAGCTGTATCCTTTGAAGGAATCTTTCATTTCTAACCGTGGGTATAATGGAAAAAAGTTTCCAGCTCATATACTTTCAAGGGAGAAAATACAAAGAAGGGTATTAATTATGATGGGAACTTGTCAGCTCATATACTTTAAGTGTGTGTGATTAAAAACATAGGAGAAGTTATTACCTCATGACTTATTAATGAAATTACTCCTTTTAGCCAATTTGACTTAGTTCTACTATCCATGCCAATAACTGGTACATTAGTTTAAATAACCCTTTAATTTCCCAGACCAAATTTGTAATTATATTAATTCTAATTATCCTTACTGTCAACCATACAATTCTTGTAATGTTAGTACAGAGAATTCAGTATTGCATCAACTAACTATTTTTAAATTGATATATTTTTTTTTTACTCTCAACACTTATCTGATTGATATTGTATTGCTATTGTAAGGAGAAATTCTCTTTTGGTCACTCACGGGAGTTAAAGGGTTAGAAGACTAATATTCATCCAGTTTATACATAGTACTTGGGTAGATGATCTCTCTAAAACAAGCCAGAACAAAAAGCTCGTTAATGTTTACATATCTTATGCAGGTTTTCTTGCCTTCGACCTTTTTTCACTACTTAGAGACTCAGAAACTTTCGTTGTGCTTTCCTATGGACAAATAAAAATTTTAAAGATATGTATTTATTTTATGTATTTTTGTTTTTTCCACATTTTTAACCCTTAACATAAAAAAGATTGACAAAAACAATAGGATCTTGTCGTCATTAAGACTTCAGTCTGTCAGTGAAGTGGGAGATAAGTCCATGGAGGAAAAAGATCCTATTAGTCATGACCACGGTAGTGCAAGTTCAGGTGATGTCAAGAAAGTCATAGATCTCTATAATCAGGGAAAAGAAGCCATAGAGTACCACAACCTACATCTTAAAATAGCTAAAGAAGTAGGAGACAAGCATGGGGAGGGTTATGCTTATGGCAATCTTGGCAATCCTTATTTATTCTGGGTGATTTCAAAAAAGCCATAGACTACCACAACCTACATCTTAAAATAGCTAAAGAAGTAGGAGACAAGCATGGGGTGGGTTGTGCTTATGGCAATCTTGGCAATGCTTATCACCGTCTGGGTGATTTCAAAAAAGCCATAGAGTACCACAACCTACATCTTAAAATAGCTAAAGAAGTAGGAGACAAGCATGGGGAGGGTGGTGCTTATGGCAATCTTGGCAATGCTTATTTTAGTCTGGGTGATTTCAAAAAAGCCATAGAGTACCACAACCTACATCTTAAAATAGCTAAAGAAGTAGGAGACAAGCATGGGGAGGGTGGTGCTTATGGCAATCTTGGCAATGCTTATCGCCGTCTGGGTGATTTCAAAAAAGCCATAGAGTACCACAACCTACATCTTAAAATAGCTAAAGAAGTAGGAGACAAGCATGGGGAGGGTGGTGCTTATGGCAATCTTGGCAATGCTTATGACCGTCTGGGTGATTTCAAAAAAGCCATAGAGTACCACAACCTACATCTTAAAATAGCTAAAGAAGTAGGAGACAAGCATGGGGAGGGTGGTGCTTATGGCAATCTTGGCAATGCTTATCACCGTCTGGGTGATTTCAAAAAAGCCATAGAGTACCACAACCTACATCTTAAAATAGCTAAAGAAGTAGGAGACAAGCATGGGGAGGGTAACGCTTATGGCAATCTTGGCAATGCTTATTTTAGTCTGGGTGATTTCAAAAAAGCCATAGAGTACCACAACCTACATCTTAAAATAGCTAAAGAAGTAGGAGACAAGCATGGGGAGGGTGGTGCTTATGGCAATCTTGGCAATGCTTATCACCGTCTGGGTGATTTCAAAAAAGCCATAGAGTACCACAACCTACATCTTAAAATAGCTAAAGAAGTAGGAGACAAGCATGGGGAGGGTGGTGCTTATGGCAATCTTGGCAATGCTTATCACCGTCTGGGTGATTTCAAAAAAGCCATAGAGTACCACAACCTACATCTTAAAATAGCTAAAGAAGTAGGAGACAAGCATGGGGAGGGGTGCTTATGGCAATCTTGGCAATTAGGAGACACATGGGGAGGGTGTTGCTTATGGCAATCTTGGCAATCTCAATTTCAAAAAAGCCATAGGCTAATCTTAAAATGCTTACAAGCATGGGGAGTCTGGGTGAGGGTCTTATTTTCAAAAAAGCCATAGAGTACCACAACCTACATCTTAAAATAGCTAAAGAAGTAGGAGACAAGCATGGGGAGGGTGTTGCTTATGGCAATCTTGGCAATGCTTATTAGTCTGGGTGATTTCAAAAAAGCCATAGAGTACCACAACCTACATCTTATAATAGCTAAAGAAGTAGGAGACAAATCCTCGGAGGCAATGGCCTACTGTTCATTAGGATTGGTTTTTGAGTTGCAAGGTAGACTGCCAAAAGCCGTTGAACATTACCAAGCTAGCATAAACTTATTCAATTCCTTGAGAGTACTTCTAATATCTAAAGATGAGTGGAAAGTTAATTTTCGAAATCAGCATCAAGTGGCGTATACGGGTTTGTGGAGAGTTCTCGTAGAACAAGGTAATGTAGATGAAGCCTTATTTGTTGCTGAGAAAGGACGAGCTCAAGCTCTGACCGACCTCATGGAATCCAGTTTTTGTGGTGGAACAAGTCACCACAAGGGAGAAGATGAAGATTGCGCAGTTTTAAAAAACGTTCCATCAAACACTGTCTTTCAGGCAGTGGACAAAGCTAACGTCAATCTTTGGGTTGTGTCCGAAGGAAAACAAGTTCAGTTAAGACAAAGTAAACTCAAAGGTTTTGTTTCAGAGAATAGTGGATCTAGCCTGTCCTTTGAGTCGTTCATGCTCGGTGTCTATACACAACTTGGTGTTCGTTCTAATGTGAGATGCGAGAATCGATCTTTAGATGCTTTGAGGGAGGGCCGTTCAAAAGTGGATGAGAAAACCAAAGAAGCCAAGCCTCAACCTCACATCCAACAAGACGGATGCTTGAGCACTTTGTATGATATCGTTATGAAGCCGGTGGCTGACTTGATTGAAGGGGATGAGCTACTCATTATTCCTGATGGACCCCTGTGGATCGCTCCTTACGCTGCATTGAAGGATGGTAATTCTAAATACCTGTGTGAATCGTTCACAATCCGAGTCGCTCCATCGTTAGCAAGTCTTAGACTCATTGCCGATTGCCCAGATGATTATCACAAAAGCAGTGGTGCGTTACTTGTAGGAGATCCGTGGGTATCCGAGGTTACTAACAGCGAGGGAAAGAAAGTCTTCGAGCAGCTTGAGTATGCTAAAAAAGAAGTAGAAATGATCGGAAAAATTCTGAATATCACGCCAATCACTGGCAGTCAGGCCACGAAACGTGAGGTGTTGAAAAGACTCAGTTCCGTTTCCCTAGTTCACTTTGCGGCACACGGATGTATGGAAACTGGCGAAATTGCTCTTACACCTGACCCAGACCGAATATCTACTGTGCCAACGGAGGAGGATTACATTTTAACAATTGGAGATGTGTTGAATGCTCAACTTCGGGCCAAACTTGTTGTGCTTAGTTGCTGCCACAGCGGCCGGGGCGAGATCAAGGCTGAAGGTGTGGTTGGCATTGCGCGCGCTTTTATGGGGGCTGGTGCTCGGTCTATTGTGGTGTCCCTGTGGGCGATTGATGACGAGGCTACTCTTGAGTTCATGAAATACTTTTATCAACAACTTGCAGGAGGTAAACCAGCAAGCGAGTCACTGAACCTGGCCATGAAAAGCCTCAGAGAATCAGACAAGTTCTGCGACATCAAACACTGGGCGCCCTTTTTGCTGATTGGAGATGACGTCACTCTTGACTTCAAGGCAAAGGAAAGAGAAAATTTGAATATGAAATCACATAAATGAAAACTTTTTTATTTCATCTCAAAATGAATGACGCAGGAACTTGGAAGGTTTAAATGCTTCTCCATTTTGGCGCTTTTTGGCTATTTTTCATTACTTTTCACTTTTTTGTTAAATGGAACTTGAGATGTGTGACTTTACTTTGGTGAAGAAATAAAACAGACTATTTCAGTATATTTTGTTCAGTGGAATTGCTATTTTTTTACCTTTACAAATTTAGATGCTTGCGAAGAGAACAAGATGCAACAAGGCTTCTGCTGTTAATGCCTGAAGTTGTTGAAGGCGACTACGAGGTTTTCGTTTCGCCAAAATGACACTCAGATCTATTCCTTTATTGCAATCAGTTATGTGTAAAATAATTTAAAGGTTTTTTTCTTGTACACAACCAGGAGCTTGTCCACCGGGTTTTAATTACGTTGATACTCTAAGCTTTTGATAAGCAAAGAAACAGTTTGTCATTTGCAAAAGGTGGCGAAATTTTAATTTCAAAAATGTGATTTGCAAAATTCGCAGCCATATGTGAATTGATCTTAATGGTTTTTCTACGTCATAAATTACTTTGTTGCAATTTGCAATTATCTTTACAAAAAAATTGATTATCATTTTCAACTTTTTTTCAATCCATTTTAATGCAATCTAATTCCATCAGTGCCAAGATTGCCATTCTAAGCTTAATTTGAAGAAGTAATCATCAGAGATGATGTTGTTGAATTTACTGACCATATGTTAGAGACATTAGACCTACTCTCAGGGGTGTGGCCAGCCTCTAGTCCCGTGGGCCCGGCCTACAATTGTTTTCCGCCCGCTTGACTTTTCTAATATGACTCTTACAAATGTTGAAACAAAAATTGAAATTTCTCAGGAAAAAGGCCTACAACAAGTCAAAGAGCTGGCTACAACGGCCTGCTTTCAATCAAACGAGTTTGATCAATTTTAGTCCGTTTTATCAAACACTCATCAGTTTGTTTTAGAGAACGACGACAGAGACAAATTGTCCATGTAATCTAAACAAGGAAATAGCGAAGCAGAGTTTACTTTAACTGAAGTTTCCATTGCTGTGACTTTTAATGTAGGTGACATGGAATTTGTTGTTTTCATTAGGAAAATATTTACGCCAATAAATTAGGGAAACACTTGAAGTAAGCCATGTAGTCCTCAATGGGAATTATTTTGGTGAAAATGTTCATGAATAAATGTAAATCTAGGCCGTAGTTAAAAAGGTTCAGGGCTTCAGGATAAAACTTGCATTTTTTTGAAAATTTCCTGTTCAAATTTTTTTCATGGCTTTAAATTTACCTTAGTATAATTTGGAGATGTCTGATGATATCTTTCTTAGATTTAAGAATTTATACTTAGGTATTCAGAGCACGCTTTGTAATTAGAACCCGTTATGTGGTCAAAAGTTTAAGGTATACTGTATCACAGCTGTTTTAAAAGAAATTTTTGTAAAATCAATGTTAATTTTTGACAGATTTTCATAACTACCATTGGTATATGCTGATATAAAATGTAATAGTTAACCTTGCACATGGTTGAATATGATGTAACGTAGGATTTTAAAAACAAGCTGGGACAATTTCGACTAAACATTCTTTTTATAATGTCAGTGTATTTGGTGTGAATTGTTTTGATGCTATTTGTATTTAAAGTTGAAGCTATTTGTTCATTTACCTTAGTTTTTATTCATTAACTCATTAACTCCCAAGTTGTGAAGAAAAATTCTCCCAACTGATAAGAATGTGTTTCTTTGTTGCTTCATTCTGAGAATTCGATGAAACATAACGTTTCTAGTGAAAAATAATCCGCTAGTTTAGATTTTCTCTAATTCTTATTGACACCATGTTTGTCGGTGCATTAATTTTGCGAGGAGAATTTAAGTTATGATCAATCTTGGGAATAAATGGGTTCATTTTAGTGTCTCCGTTTAGCGCGTACTTTACTTAATGCCTTGAACAATTTAATGCAGTTTGTATTGTACTTTTTTTTACTTTTTTGTGTAAGAGAAATAGAGAGTGTATAAAATACAAAAACTGCGTTTGTTTTCATTGTCTGTCTCCATATTCTAAGGATTCGCGTGAGATGCAGGGAGAACAGATCCTACGGGGACTTCAATGCTTGTTTTGACCC